CCGTCCCGCCATATACCTTCATGAGGTGGTCAAAAGATACGATCTGACTAATGCCTAAGTTGGGTCGCAATCAACATATCATGGTCCTGACTGACTACTTTACAAAGTGGGTTGAAGCCAGAGCATACCCCAGCATAAAGGCAATCGACGTCCAGCTTTTCGTATGGGAAAACATCATACGCCGGCATGGCCTCCCATACGAGATCGTCACAGGTAACGGAACGCCATTCACCTCGTCGACATTCCGAAACTTTTGCGAGGGCTAGGGAATACGCATAAGTTACTTAATGCCTTGCTATCCACAAGGAAACGGTCAAGTGGAGGCTTCCAATAAAACCATTCTCGAAGGTCTTAAGAAACGACTAACAGAACTAGAGGGAAGATGGGCATACAAACTGGACGGCGTCCTCTGGTCTCACCAAACGACCCTACGAACTGCAACAGGAGAAACCTCATTTTCGCTGTCTCACGGCTGTGAGACCTTGACACCTGCCGAAGCGCATGTACCAAGTGCCCGACAAACCTTAATGGTTCGGAACCCGCAACTAAACAAGGAAAAGCTAATCAACACTCTGGATAGCTTAGAAGAACTTCACGATAAAGCCTTATTACACATTCAGAATTATCAGCAGCAAATCTCTGGGTACTACAACAAAAAGGTTCGTAGCCGACTGTTCGCGCTTCATGATCTCGTTTTACGAAGGGTTACAAATCCGACAAAATTGAAAGAAAATTGGAAGGGACCTTATCGCATCACAGAGGTTGTCAAACCCAGCGTCTACAGAATAGAGAAAATGAATGGCAAACCAGTCAAGCGAGCACGAAATTCAATGAATTTAAGGAAATACTACCCATATAATAAGCAGCTCGACATATGACTCTACATTTGTTACCAAGAACTACGAATGACTTTATCCCACTTTGGGTACGTAAGCAGCCTTCGGTATCAATCACTATCTTAATAAAATTACCTTTATCTTTGTCAACCAGCTCGGCGTTCAATGTAAAGGGCATCCAGTGGTCTGGATCGACCATAAAATCAGCTCGGCATATAGAGCAATCTTTCCTTATGCGAATACATCTTGCTGAATCGATGTTCGGGCCAAAAATTCGATTCGAAAAAGCAAAAAGCAAAAACTAAAGTCCGTGGCTGATCACCACTCCTTTGATACTTCGGTTTAATTTAATTACTTCCAAAGTGGATAAGACGAAAGCCGAGGATAATACTTGCACGACCCTTGGTCATACCTTTTTGGGCAGAAGTGAACCCCAAGAAGCTTAGTATTCGATCTCGACCATCGTTTGGTATACGGCGAGCGAACGAATCTCGCTTTCAGCACCGGCCAAAAGAATGCCCCCCGCACAGCAAGACAAAAAAAACTTTTTGACTTCGCAAACCCCTTAAAGACAAGGGCTACCTCGACAACGTGCGTTAAAGATTATATACTAAAATTTTTCATTATGGTTTCTTTTAAAAGAAAAAAACATCCATCTCGCATACATTCTCGCAAAAAAAAAACTACGACAAAGAAAATAATTACAAAAAATAATAGAAAACAAATCCCATTCAACGTCGCTTTGGCACTTGGATCCCAGCCGCCTCCAGCTCCAAGGTCATATGTCGCATGTGAGCCTGTGTCGGAGCGGCAAAGTTATCCTTTGTAATAGGGGCATCTTTTATATCATGACGCTCCATTTTCAGACGATCGGCTCTGGCAGAATGGGATAAAAGCTCCTTGACAGGGACCTCATGCCCCGCAGTTCGAAGCCGTTTGTAGCAGTCCGTCCGCGCTTCGGCATCAACAATCTTGAGCTTGAGATTGTAAATATCGGGCTCCTGCGACATAAACGCTTTTATCCGCTCAAGACGAGGGTCATACCACTCGCGAGAACGTCAGTACAGACTTGCGTTGTTGCTTTCAAAATTCTTTCTCAATGGCGGACAACTTCTCGGTCTCTTCGGCCGCCCTCTTCTCCAAAACTTCTCTGTGGAGTTGCCTTTCTTTAGCAGATTCGACTTTAAGAGCCTGATATTTAAGTCCAGACCGAGCTTTTCGCGCTTAAGCTCTTTGATCCTTGCCAATGCATCACGGAGCTCTCGATCTTCGACTATCAGCTCCTCGGCTCTTCTCTCTTCTCGCACCGATTCTCGTTCATACGAGTCAATCCAAGATGCGCATAAGCTTAACCTTGCACAAATCGCTGGGCCATACCCGAGAAACCTTCAAAACGCTTCAATTTGTCGACGGACATCTTCTGGTTTGGCTTCGCCCTCCACTGCCATACCAAATTCGATGCAAAAAATTGATCAAGCATCGCCGGGAAATCTCCGTTCCACCGGAGCAACAATTGGTGAGGATTAAAATCTGAATCCTCATCAGCACCCTCTGGGTCCTTCGGCTAGCTGCTCGAAGGACTTGATAAATTAGTTTCCTGCTCCTCCGTCATTGCGAAAGCAGAGTCTTGCTCCTCGATTGGCGATGCAACCTCTAGATCCGCCGTCAAGGTCTTCGAGGGAGAAGATCGCGCATCCGTAACAGCAACGACTGATTTATCTAGCGGGTCATCTTCAGCGGCGGTTGGATCTTGCGACGGAACCACCGGCTCGGGATTCTTAGTCGGAGGAAAATCAGGGATATCGATATCCAATGAAGGAATCTTGTTTCTCTTCCTTAATCCCATGTTTCCCAGAAGAAATGATTGATTAAAATCCAAAGTCAGAAAGAAGTAGGAAGACGGCCGAGCAAAGGTGTCTATCGCGGAGAAGATTTCTGCAAAGCGATCTAAAGAAGGTAAAACCCTTGGGAGTAAGGAGATGAAGAGGCAAATTCTCGATGATAAAATCAAAAGAAATATCAGCAGTTTCCTTAAAAGACGCGTGTCAAGATTCGCACAATCTCGCCGAACCTTTGGCTTTTCCGCTTGAAGAAAACCCTAATGGGTCGCATGTCTTAAATAATTTTTTTTTTAAAAAAAAAGTGGGGTGCCGCGTGTCAAGTCCATCTAAAAACGGGTCGAGCTGGCCACCACGGAGGAATGCTCTCGACGAGCTAATGCTTATTGCGAGATCAAACCCACTTAACTTCATGAAGTCCGCCGAGCTGATTTACAATCAGTCTCGCCGAACTGGGGGGGAGGGGGGGGGGACTTATTGTTAGAGGGGAAATGAGAACATTTCCTGAAAGGTTTTATCTAGCAATAACCCAAGCTCATCAAGACTAGGAAGACTATGCTGACATAGTTCCAAAAAGGTAAACCTCGAAGATAATCTTAAAAGTCCCATAAAGGCGGGTCGGCTTTAAGGAATATTCAAGGATTTTGTTGAATAAATTCATTTCATAAACTAGTACTAAGACAAAACTAAGTGCTACAGTTTTGGTTGAATAAATCAAAGTCACTATCTCACGTTTAAATCCAACAATCATTTGGGAATATGTAGAGAATTTCCATATTTTTCGGGGAATAGTGATATTTCTATATCGCAAATATAAAAATATTCACCAAAGGAAAAAAGGAAAAGGAGTTCGGAGCAACCGCCCTCCTATTCATATAAATAAGAAGACCTTGGAGCACAAGAGGGACAACTCATACAACCTAGAGAGCAGCAGAGCTAAAACCAAGAACTCCAATGCTTTCTAGTTTATTTCGAAAACACTTTCTTTTCATTTCGGCATAACCTTTCGGTTAAGCCATCTCTTGTAATCGCTTCATCTTTAAGCTATTAATAAAGAACTTGTTCTCCGAAACCCACAACTGTTAATCAAATTCCTTGTAGTGATTTTTTGGTTCAACACAAAGCAAATTTTGTATTTATAGAAGGAAAATGATTGGTGACACTAAACCCACAACGGCTTGGCCCAAAAAGAAAACATGCATCAGCACTCACCTAGACAAATTGGTAACGATACTTTCAGCTCATACTTTCAGCTCGGAACGTTGATCTCGTCCATAATTTTTTACCTCGTCACACCCATCATTAAGTCTAACGAGGGGGGGGGGAGCTAACTGCTAGGGTTATTATTTACGTAGGCGAAATTAAGTATGAAATGACTAAAATATGGAACTGGGCCTAGCTTAAATGGAGAGCCAGAATCATTCTGGCCGAGCAGGGGCATCTCATGCTAAGCTTGGGCATCTCATACCGAGCTGGGGCACCTCAGGCCGAGCTGGGATGCCTTGGACCAAACTGGAGCACCTCATGTCGAGTGGGAATACCTTAGACAAAACTGGAGCACCTCAGGCCGAGCTGGACGACCTTAGGCAGTTTAAGAAACTTGTATAAATATAGATACTAGATTCATAGAATCGCCAAACATCTTTTACTTAGCTAAACACTGAGCATATCGCTTATCACTTTGATATCCTAAGTATTTCCCCTTGTTGGGATCAAATCTGAACAAGATTGCAGGCTTTCTCCATGTTGTACAAAATCTTGTTATTCTCTTTTTCTCCATCTTTGTTTATCTTATCACTTGTTCTGAAATTTGTGATACATTTGCTTTAGCTCTTTTAAGTGTACTTCGTGTTTGTATGGTTCATTTCGTTTTATTTGAATGAAAAAAGATCTACTTGACCCAAAAGTGAAAGAGTCTTTTTTTTTTTCAACTTTATGTGTGGATATTTCCTACACATTTCCTAAATATTATGGCCTGATGCCCAAAATAATTCTACACCAAATATTTTTCATCTAGAGATATATTTTGACTATTAATCTCAAAAAACCATTAATCTCGAGTCTATACGATGAAGAGATTCTAAGACGAATAAAATTAATTAACAGGTATATGTTAGCATTCTGTATTAAATTGTTTCAGTTTCATAGCAACTTGAATTTGTGAATTTGACAAAACTAATATGTGAAGTCGCGTAGAGCATCTTTGCTCTGATTCGTGAAGTCGAAGGAGACCTATAGATATTCCCAATTTGAAACTCATCAAGATCTCAAGACATTGCTCATAGAAAGATCAAATCAGAGGCAATGAAACTAAACAAGAGAAAACTCACCAAACAACGAAGAAGATTTTGCTCTTTTGGCAATTCTCAGAAGTGACAAAGTCAAAGTCATAAACAGCGTATCTGCAATCATTGTCAGGGAGAGAAGCTAAGAAATCGTCGTACCTCCCTGCAGGGTTTCCGGTTTTCTCAACCACCACTTCTTTCTTGGCCTCATCGATCTTGAAGACGACGTAGCGGTGAGTTTTCTTCCTCTGAAGCTCATGGAATGTGGTTCTGCTCTGATCTGCAACATCCATCCCGGATGTTGCATTTGGCTGCAGATAGATGATAAACAAATAAAGGTTCGATTTTTAGGTGTATGTTCTAAAAACCCGAAGGAGGTAACAACGAGATGGACTCTATTTCGTATATTTAGTTTTAGGAGGAAGTTACTGATCGCAGCACCACCAACCCAAGAGAAGTCAAAGCGGATTACTGTTTTGAAGTTTTCGAAGACCATTGATGATGATGAAAAGTTAGGAAATGAAGCAGCCATAAAACTTTAGATGGAATGGATCATGGAGCCGATTCATTTAACCCATAACACCTCTTTAACTGCACATTCAAGGTAATGGCCAGCCATTTATTTTCACAAGAGCCTTGGTACGGTCAGTTTTGAGTTAGATCGGATGGCAAATTCGGGTCTGACTGATTTTCATTGAGATTGATCAGATCTCATTCAATGTCTTCGATTGATTAGAGTTCATATTGGACAGTGTGTGTTCTGCCTTCAACAATATATTAAATTTATTGAATTCTATCTTAAAATCAGTTATCAGTAAATAGATTAGTGTATATCTGAATAAGATAAACAAAAGAAACGCTCTGAAAAAACTAACGGTTTTTTTTCTCAAAAAATGCGACGGAGATGGAGATCTAGGTCTCCGATGCATTTAGATCGGATGGTTTTGGATGGATTAATCGTCCTTTTGGGTATAATTCGGGGTTCTTGGGAAAGGCAATTGGTCTTCAGGATCGATATATCTTCGAAAGGGGTTTGGGGTTGTTTTTATTTGGTTCGATGGGTTTGAGTTTTCTCAAGGTTGAGAATCCTTCAACAATGAACAGTCTCGTTGATATCTCCATTATTTATATTATTTTAGCTTGTATTCATCACTAGTTTTAGTCTCTAAACATGCATATTTTGCTTCTTCTTGTCCCATTTGCATACATTTAGGAGTTAATGTAATTTTAAAAGCTGCATTGCATTTTGCGTGCATTTGCAGTTTTATTTAGGTACTTGAAGGAGTGTGGAGGTCATGTGAAGCAATGGATGTGAGCTGGGAATGGAGCAAGGCAAGAGACAAAGACGGATGAACGAAATCGATGATGATATCGACATCATGTGATCGATACAGAGCATATCGATGGGAGTATCGACCACTACAACATCGACACAGAAGAGGCAAAGTGTGAAAGAAGCATATCAACTTAGACACCTCGATGCAGCAGAATGGAGTCCATATCGATCAGTGTATCGATGTCCCAAGACCGATACACATGACAGGACAATACCGAGGTCCCATACCGACTTGCTTGATCGATGAGCCTTAACTAAAGGGCGATTGTATCGACTTCACACCTTGGAGAGCCAAACCGATACAACTCAGAAGCCTTCAGTATCGACATGCATATCGACCAAGAGGCATCGATACAACCCAGAAGAGGAGAAGATATCGACATGTGTATCGATATTCCATGTGGATATGGTCCATCCGAGTCAGCTTACTTTTGGTTTAATCTTGGTTTACTAGAGGTTTTTTGTTTCCCTATAAATACTAAAGTCCTAAAATGGTTAGTCAAGTTGGATCTTATTATTTTCTTTCTGTTCTTGTACTTAAAACCTTTCATTTTTCAGCTTTGCTTTGTAAGAACTTGCTTGATTTAGTGAATTTCTGTATTTGCCTTTGATCTATTCATGCTTAATCTGCTCCCTAATCATGCTTAACCATCTTTTCTCCTTAGAATTTGTGGTTTTGACTATGGCTAGTGAGTAGTCTTATCTAGGGTTTGAGATGGGATAAATTAGAGGGGTTTTGGGACTAGATTAGTGATGTCTTATGCTTAATATCATTATTTTCTCTCTATTATATGTGCTTAACACTAGATTAGTCTTGCCCAAGCTTGTTTAGTATCTTGGCTTTCTCTAGCGCCTGGTAAGTGTTTGATGAAATGCTTCTTAGAGTCTCTTAGAGGATTTGTATGCTTAGCCTAATGAATTAGATGTCTAAGGTGCATTTTGGCTTTATAGGATTGGAGTTCTGTTCTGAATGCTTACTGGTCATGTGTTTAAGTAAAGAGATTTATCTTGAATGTGTGTTTAGCAAAGTGATTAGTGTCAAGGAATTGAGCTAGTTATAGTTGTTAGTCCTATGCCTAGAATATAGCATTGCTTGAATAGTTTTGAAGCATCACTAGTTAGGTTCTAATCCCCTCTTAATCCACAACCCCCATCTTAGATCCTTTCTTTATCTATTTGAATTTCCTGCTTTACTTAGTTCATTTTTAAGACTTGTTAGTTTTGTTCACAACTGCCATTTTTAAACTTGCTTGACTTAGATGATTTGCTGTATTCTTGGTGTCTTAAGAACCCAGATGGATTGATACCTTACATGCTGCAATGACATGTGTATGTTGGGATTTGCTTAGTAGTGAAACAACTGCTTATCAAATTGGCGCCGTTGCCATATGGGTTTAGCTTAAGCATTAGGATTTGTAGATTGTTTAAGATCAAGTTTTCTTTGAATTTGGTTACTAACTCTGTTTCTACTCTTGGTTTCTCTCTTCTAGGTGTATGCACTTAAGATCAAGAGGCACTGAAAGTCTGCAACCTTTTCAGGACAACATCTTGCAACTTGAAAGAGAGCTGAGAGCAAGAAGACAGAGAGAAAGATCACAGCACTGTGAGAGACTTGGGATGAACAATCAGGAACCTGTTATGGATGACATCAGATTCCAAGGTCCTCAAGGAGCTGCTGGTGCTCAGGGTCAACAAGATCAGAGAGGTGTTCAGGCTTGCAAGGTGAGCAGGGACCAAGAGGCGCAGCTCAGGTTCCAAGAGCAGCAAGACCAATTGGCACAGGTGATGCACCAAATGCCTATAATAACAGAACTGGGATCATTCCACCTGCAGTGCAAAACAACAGCTTTGAAATCAAGTCTGGATTGATTTCAATGGTTCAGGGCAGTAAGTTTCATGGGTTGCCACTTGAAGACCCATTGGATCACCTGGATAATTTTGACAGACTTTGCTCCCTTACAAAGATAAATGGGGTCAACAAAGATGGCTTCAAGCTCAGGTTGTTCCCTTTCTCTCTTGGTGACAAAGCACACCAGTGGGAGAAAAACTTACCTCAAGGAAGTATCACCAGTTGGGATGAGTGCAAGAGAGTCTTTTTAGCAAAGTTCTTCTCTACTTCAAGGAGTGCTAGGATCAGGAATGAGATTTCAGGATTTGCACAGAGGAACAATGAAACCTTTGGTGAAGCTTGGGAAAGATTCAAGGGCTACACACTGCAGTGCCCACACCATGGTTTCTCACAAGCATCTCCCAAATATCAGAATGCTTCTGGACACTGCATCAAATGGGAACTTCTTGTGAAAGGATGTTGATGAGGGATTGGAGCTTGTTGAGAATTTAGCACAGTCTGATGGAAATTAAAATGAGGAGTTTAATAGAACTCCAAGGAGTACTAAAGATGAACTGGAGTATAGCAAGAAAGAGATCAAAGCTCTGCATGAAAAGATTGATCTACTGCTAAGGGAAAGGAAGGAAGTCCACTTTGTTGGAGATATGGTTCAGCTTGATGATCAAGAGCATTGCCAAGTTGGGGAGATGAACTATCTTGGTAATCAAGGAGGCTACAATGGGTATGGCAACTACAGACCAAACCCTAACTTATCATACCGAAGCAACAATGTAGCAAATCCTCAAGACCAAGTGTACCCACCTTAACAACATCATCAAGCTGCTCCAGGACCTTTTGTTCCCTACAATAACAATCAAGGTTTTCAACAGAGGAACAACAACTTCCAGCCAAGAGCGCCCTATAAACCTCCAGGATTCAATGCTCTAGCACCAGCTCAAGCTTCTTAAAGCTCTCAAGATCCTGAACTCAAGAGTATGATGCAGCAGTTGCTTCAGAATCAGGTTACCAACAACTTGGATATAAACAAGAGGTTTGCTGAAGTTCATAATAAAATTGATTCAGTTCTTGTCGAGTTGACCAACAAATTCGAAGGGTTGGCTTCAAAAGTAAAGACACTAGAGAACAATAAAAGTATAGCTGGTCCAAAACCTCAAGGACACCTTCCTGGAAAACCAGAAGCTCACCCTAAGGAGTTCTGTAATGCCATTGTCACTGAATAAGAGTCCTTCTCAGATGAAGAGGAAGCTGTTATTGAGGAGTTCCTTTCTCTGTTCGATGAGGACACTTAACTTCAGAGTGGGGGGGGGGGGGGGGGGGGGGGGGGGGGGGGGGAGTTTTTGGAAGCTGACGCCAACCATGGAGTTGCAAAGAAAGAGTCTCTTGAAGCAACAACAACTAAGGAAGAGGAGAAGAATGAGCTAATTGAGGAGAATCAAGCTGGGAAGCAAACTGGGATCTATGATCAGTTTCCTTACAAGCCAGCTCTCTCCTTTCCTGGAAGGTTTAAAAAGCAGCTTATGGAAAAATACACGACTCTCTATGTCAACCAGATGAAGCTTAGAGGTCTTGATATTGGAACAGAGCTGAAGGAAGACATTGCCAAGACTGAGGTACTGAACATCAAAAAACTTGGAGATCCTGGATGCTTCACTTTGCCTTGTGAACTCAATGGGCAAACCTTCAAGAGCTGTCTTTGTGATCTTGGAGCAAGTATCAACCTTCTCCCATCCTCTACTGCTAAGGCGCTTGGCTACACTCAACTTCAAGAGAGTAATGTGTCTCTTACCATAGCTGATGGGACAATAAAGGCACTACTTAGAGCTCTCAAAGATGTGCCAATGATGATTGAAGGAGTGATCATACCAACAGATTTTCTGGTCCTAGATGTTAAAGGAATGATCAAAAATGCCATCATTCTAGGGAGGCCATTTTTAGCTTCAGCTGGCGCAGTGTTTGATGCCAAAGAGTGCACAATAGAGCTAAGGCTGACCAAAGAGAAGGTTCTGAGGTTTGACTCTAAAGGGAACAAGCTAGAAAATGAGCAGGCCTTCTCAATAGAGATCAAGAAGTTGAAGAGAGTTGGAGAGCATTGGCCAGAGTTTGAAGGC